CCGGGGAACAACGACCGGCCGAACACCCATCTGGAGTTACGTAACAGTTTCTGTCGCGCCAGAAGGAAAAACTTGGGAAGACAGGAAGAAAGATCGAAGACGAAGACAGGTTATGAATAATTGCCCGAGACTAGATAAATAAATGGGTTTATTCAGCATTCATAAAAAATATGTTGCAGATGAGTTTCGTGATAGTTCATGAGCACCTGCCACATTCCTTGTGTGCTAATTTACAATCTCATAACTTTGTTCTAAGTCAGCAGAATGCTATTAAATAACTAAATAAAGTTAAATAAAAATTTGGCACCCATTGCCTGCCCAGTTAGTGAAATTTCCTCAAGTCTGAGAGTACACGTGGTGTGCTGCAGATCAATGAACACGAAGTGTTGTACCGAACTGTGTCTCCAACGGAGGGAAACAAATTCCTCAGCTTTGTAGCCTGATTATTTCTACATATTCTTTTTTATTCTTTGGCGCTACAGCCCCAATATGGACCTTGGCCTACCTCCATGAAACTCTCCGTTTCTCTTCAGTTTACTAGATCTTATACATTCGGTAGGACTTTTGGGGAGGGTGATCAGCTCGTCGCAAAGCTTCTAAATGTACAGGAACACAGAGAAACGCGCACATACGCACAAACACTGAATATCCATGCCCTGAATGGGATTCGAACCCACAAATCAGGCTTATGCACTTCTTTGAATTACTTCGTGATTTATAATTATTAGTTCTCAGGCTTCTACAATTGAATCTCCCTACATTTCCGAATGAAGTCTACATATTTGTTTTTAATTTAATGTTATTGTATTTGATTGTTGACTTTCCAACTCTTTTCGACGCTTCTTTTTGCCATGTGTGAAAACTTAACCTCTTGTTATTCTCAGAACCACTGAACACTTCAAGGCTGGATTTCATCAGTGCCCAGTGTTCGAAAATATCGGACCAATTCGGAACGCCCGGAGTCATCCTCCAGATGAAATGTTTCCTATATGTTCACATTAAATCGCCATACCTGCTTCCCGGGAAATGTGTGAACAATAAGTGAACACCATGTCCCATTATAAAACGTCACGAAAATTAAATAATCGAGTAGATGCAGTGTATATCTTCGAAAAGGCTCGACACTAATATTGGGGGTACTCTCATGCAAAAGCTTTTCATTTGGCACAGACGTGCGTTTTTCAGTTTCTTCGCCGTAATATGCTACTTCGCTGTAAAACTGTTCAAGATTTTTGTGTCGGTTGACTCTTAAGTGCGATCAAGTTCCACATCTCGGCTGCAGGGCATTTAGTAATTGCTTGAATGCTCGTCTGAACAAAACAGGAATTATGAAAGAAATGCAGTAGTTGATATCGCAATTATAGTCCTGTACCTCCTGAAGGACAGAATAAAGCTTCATGAAATATCCTGCAGAGCAGATGAAACAGGGTGAAAGAAGACGTTCATGGAGATAGGCCTAGGTCCACTGGGGCTGTAGTGCCAAGGAAAAATAAAAATAAAAAAAAAATGAAACAGGACAACGTCCATGTATTTATCGTCCGTCAATATTGCAACACTTGTTTATTCACCACTTAATCTTAATCTTAGTTTAACATTTTACACTTTGACACAAAATGTTTCGGCCCCAAAACGGCCATTTTCAGGTGTCTCGATATGTTACAAATATTTTATTAAATTATGTTAAAACTGTTACACTGTGTTAGTCCGTGTTAAAATCACACGCGGTAGTTCTCTTGTCAAGATAAAACAAGATAGAAACCATTAGAATTGCTATTAAATCCACGTTATTTTGGTGCATTCTCGTATTTTATATCACAAGGAGTGACGTCCATTGCTCATAATTGTATGCCTGACCCAGGAGTTTGGTTCCGGCAGCTTGCCCCTCACGTTCGTAGCCTACTTTTCAGCTATGACTGCCATATACCCCTGGTTTGCGTGTTTCCTCCACAGCGTGTGGTGTTGTCTTTACTATTTTTAATAGAATTTCTAATAGATTTTTATCTTATTTTACCTTGATAAGAGAATTACCGCGTATGATTTTAACACGGACTAACACAGTGTATTGTATATTTGTAACATATCAAGACACCTGAAGATGGTCGTTTGGGGCCGAAATATATTGTGTCAAAGTGTAAAATGTTAAACTAGGATTAAGATTAAGTTGTGAATTAACAAGTGTTGCAATATTGAAGGACGATAAATGCATGGACCTTAAGTTAAACAATTGCAACAGGATGCTGAAATTCAGAATTAGAAATAACACAAATTTACGTTTTTCGTATTCAGTTAAAAACAATTTGACGTTGAAGTTCCAGAGTAAATAAATTTGTTAAATGCTTCAGCCACTAGATCTGTAAATAAAAATGTTTAAGTAATANATCATACAAGATCATATATGATAACCTTACCTCCATCTGTGAGTCGATTTTCTAGACAATGTAGGACCCTCAAAGTGTCACAACCCTATGGGCCTCCATGGCCTGTTACAGGGATAGCTTTACTTTCACCTTTACATTTGATCTACTTTATAAATTAAATATTACACTCTTTAATTGAATATCATTTTTGAACTTCATGAAGAAAAATGTTCTTCTTTAGAAGCTTTTGCTCAGTATTTTGTATTTTTTCATTACGGAATATTGTGACTGGATTGCAAATACATGAAATGGACGTCCAGCTTTTGGAAGTTCTACAAGTAGAGGCGCCTGTCTCCTGCTACAATTTCATTGTGTTTCAAAACAGAAGAATGCGCGACAGATTAAGTTTTCTAACACGGGCGACATATTATAAGGTTCATTAACACAGCAATTTCATTCATTCATCAGTAATCTGTCAGACGACAGGTCCACAGTCTCTTCCAAAACAGTTCCTCCACTTAATGCGATCTTCTGTTTTTGGAAAGAGACTATCCAGAAAAATTGTTAATGTGGTAGTTTTTCCATTTGCTTTCCACATCGCAGTACAACAGCCGTTCAAACCACTCTGGTCACGCCTGTTGCTATACGAACTTGAACCATCTCGAGCATCATTTGCTCTGTGCTTCAAGTCGCTGCTGATGACTGATGATCAGTTTTTGGTTTTTGGTACCACTCTTTGTCTGAGGGGGTTTGAGTGTGAACAATTTATGAAAGACATATTATTCGGCTATTTGTCAGATAACATGGGAGACTGAAAGTGAACCCATCACTGAATAAAAACTTGAGGGGAAGGGAAAAAGCGTAGTATATATTGCATGCGATAGGCTTTCTGTATACATTGTTTATTTAGTCCTAGTTTGTTAGATAATTAAGTTGATTTTAAGAAAATGTGTTTACCTTTCTTTCTTTTTTGTTTACAACTCCCATTCCGGAGATGTGCTTCGCTGACTAACGGTCATCGTTCTTTTGCTTAGTCTTTCTGCCTAAATAGGTAATAAATTGAAATATACCACGACCGCTTTCTTTATATTTCCTACCGACCGGTCGCTCTTTATCGTCTGATCATATGACGGCAGATAACTTAAAAAGTTTGAAATAAGTCGTTACATCGCAGAAGAATTTTAAGTTGTGAATGAATTTCATTTTGATCTAGTAGCGTAGTTGGTTGAGGTACTATGCTGCAAGTCGGAATGTCGCGGGATCGAATCCCGATGAGGTGGATATTTTTCAATTGACCTAATCCTTCCAGCCGTACTATGACCCTGAGGTCGACTCAGCCTCTAACATATATGAGTACCAGGAATATTCCTGGGGGTAAAGGGCGGCCGGCGTGCAAGGCTGACAACCCCACCACCATCTGTGAACAGATTGTCTAGAAAATGTGGGAGTCTCAACATCTCACAACCCTATGGGCCTCCGCGGCCTGTTACAGGGATACCTTTACTTACTTTACTTTGATCACTGTAACCTCAGATTTATTAAAGTTCGAATTGAAGTTTTATCTGTCACATTTCTCAAATATAGCTCATAATGCAAGGGTTATATTACGTGAGTAAAAAAATGAGTAACTCTTTGTTATTAAGGACCATCACTCTCATTTAAAACACAGAATACCGAGAAAGTACTAAATATATTTTTTGCCTCTAATTGATAGACTAATGTTGTTAAAATAAGTCGATAAAATGGAACTCTAAATTTTGTTTAAGGACTGGCCCTGAATACCGGATATATCTGTTATTGATAGCTTTATCTGCGACGAGATTCGTATATAATTGTATTTAATATAGTATGTAGGTTGTAAATTAATTCCGTGAGCAATGGGTCTTTATCTATAACAAATTATCATAAAAGTCCATGAGACATGCAAAGTTCCGAACGTTTCCTTGAAAAATCCTGTATACTCTAACCTGGAGTGAACTCCACCCCCTTGATCATGTACACATCTGTGATCTCACTCCGCAATGTAAAGGATAACGCCCTGAATGCCAGGATCGTTGAAGATTTTCCTAATACTCTCATGAACCCAATCATGTCTATGATATCGTGATCATATGAATTTATGCATAAAGAAATTAATGAAATCAGTAAACATTGAGTCTGACGTCTTTTTCTCATCGATCTCTTAATCCAGACGTAGATAAGAAAATTACCGGTGGCTTAGACTTGCTTAATTAGTTCTTAAATAAACAACATACGTTGTATGAATTAAACAAACTTCTATTTTCTGCGATTATTTAAAGTAGTCCACTGAGATTCATAATTAATTTCGTATTACCGAATCTCATAGACACAAGTTAGGTTCTTAAGATTCCGTTGCAAACCAACACGAAACATAGGATAAAAATCCTTGCTTCGGTCAGGATTCGAACCCCTGGTAGAGGACAGTCTTCACTTTAATAAAAAGTTCTTNGCTGTCTCACTTCCGAATTAACTTGTTAATATATTTTATTTCAGTACAATAGAAACAATACAATATTGCAACTTCTATTCTTCTCATGGTTTATTTTTCCGATATTATTGAATGAATAAGTGACATCGAACCTCAGACCTCCGCGTGGGAATGTAACTGCCACTGGTACTCACCTAGAAGAGAAACCACTTAGTAAGAAACACAACGCGACCGAAGCTGTTGAAAGTTAAAACCAAACTAAACTTCACTTTCTATTCACTTCAACGGTTCCGAGAGCCACAGAAAACTCCCAAGGCAGTCTTCTTACTGCTCACTTTTTTTAACTCATTTAGACAAAGTGGGCCATTTACTGAGGAAAATTCTAAGAATGCCAGGGATAATGAGGACACACAGCAGCTTCGATAGTTCGTACTAATTTAAATGCAAATATTATTCGAATTATCGTTATGCCGAGATAAATAAAAGTGACCGAACATAGCGAAAATCGTTATCAAGTCACATGTTACTTGAATGCTTCATTGAACCTTGAAGTTCCTTGGAACCTGGATGCATTTAGATTAGCTGAGTAACTATTAACTGGTATGAGAATCATGTATCTTGGTATTACTTACACAGTCTGTTAGGTTTTTCTTTTCTGTCTGTTTATTTAGATAGCCAGAAGAAAGTTATTCATCAGTATCAATTTGAAAATGTATAAAACTTTAGGGGGCACGCGGTAGCGTATTTGGTTGAGGCACTATGCTACAAGCCGGAAGGTTGCGGGATCGAATCCCGATGAGGTAATTGGATTTTTTTTCAATTTACCTAATCCTCCCATCCGCATTATGGCCCTGGGATCGACTAAGTCTCTAACAGAAATGAGTACCAGGAATATTCTTGGAATGTTCCTGGGGGTAAAGAACGACCGGCGCTTAGGCTGACAACCTTGCCGCCATCTATGAGCCCATTGTCTAGAAAATGTGGGAACCTCAACATCTCACAACCCTATGGACCTCCACGGCCGGTTACAGAGATACCTTTACTTTTTATTTACTTATAAAACTTTGAGTACTCAGAAACAACACTAACCAATCGTTTTATCTTGTAAGATATAGCGCCGTGTAGTCCGTTTGCGAAACAAACCGACTTTTCGGAGGAATATATTGCCTCCATTTTCGGGGTCGAAAATAAACTAAGCAAGAAACTACATGAAACAAAAATCAAGCAGAAATAAGACTGCGATGCGTTATATCCCAGAATATAGAACTTTTCATAACCACCGCTGTGAGACAATCAAACCAGGAAAAGAAAACACCAGCAAATTCGGACTTTCCAAGAAACTGAAAATTTGCATATACGAAAATACACGTATTGTTTGTCAATTTTGTGGGCCTGCAACGCGGTAAATTTGTTTGGAAGAAGAGCCCAAATTTATGGCGGTGAGAATAAGGCATTCAGAAAATATTCGGACCAAAGGCGAATGAAATAATTCAGCAGTTCAGGTCGTCATATTTTGATGACTTTAGTCTATTATACAAGCCGTCTAATATTGTCAGATTATAGAAATCTATATGGATACAATGGTTCGAGCATATATAAGCTTTGGAAAATAAAAATTCTTGCAGAATTTTGGTGGAAATGCCTCTTCGGAAACTTGGGTGAAAATGTAGAAGGTACAGGGTAAAGTAAGATGCATATTAAGAATATAGGCTGTAAAGAACGCAGATGAAAGAATGGTATCCGATGGCTTATTTGGTATCAGCAATGTTGAAACTTCGGCTCCTGTTCCGTATGACCTTCGGTAAGGTAATTATTTATTCACGTGGGTGATTTGGTTGAGGCGTAGAAGTAAACAGTCTTGAAATACTGGATCAGCATTTTTCAAGGGGAATGGAATAAAAGCACGGAAAATATATGTCAATAAATGCGGCATCCGAACCAGGAATTAACATGGAACATCGTAAGAAGGAAGTTAGATTTCCCAGAACTCTCCAGTCTTCCAAGAAAATCTGCTTATGGGTTTCTGGGGAAATTAACGAACAGCATCACTCTTGCGTTAGGTATATATGCATAATTTTGTTGTCTTATGATGATAGTATTTCACCCACTACAAAGGCTCCATAACATTAATTGGAACGCAAAGATGATTGTGTACATTGTGTTACTAAAATCCTGTTCCAAATTCGAGTCCCTGATCTCATGTATAGAACTGTTGAAATCTTCACGAAGACATCCAGTAGAAGCATAGTTTCACGTAAAGAGTAAGATGGAGTAAAATTAAGACATAAGCCCAGAAACAAGTGAAAGTGTAAGCTTGACAGTCTTGTAGGTAGAAGGAACTTTTCCTCTCTTCGTGAAGTACAATGAATTTGATGCATAAAGAACAGTATATGAAAGGTATCACACGTTGACAATTGTAGTGTCATTAACAAGAGGATAACTTGTGCCTGCAGAAATGTACGTCCCCCCCATATAATCATTTTATTATTCTTTCATTGATACAAATATATTTTATTAAGTATTTAAAACAGGCATAAATGAAACATAATTTGTGGGTTTTTGGACTTTTTCCATCGTCCGGAATTCCGGACGATGGAAAAAGTCCAAAAACCCACTAATTCTGTGTGTCATCCATGACAGTCAGAACCGTTTAGAATCTACAGGCATAAAATAAATAATAATCATCGCAACGAGGTTCAATATAACATGAATTCTTCTCAGAATATTTTAGTAGTGGTTAAAATGAAATAGAATGACTGAATCGGGTATGTGTCAGACGTGGGAGCAACACAGACCTCTTTAGTATATCTGTTTGGAAAACTTCATGGGATACAACGACACATAAACTCAGGATCTGCACAATATAATGGGGAACGTGATTTTGAAAATGAAAACTGGATGAAACTGCCTATGGAGAAGATCCAGGAGTTGATCACGTGGTAGGCATTCCGGTTCTACAGAGGAGACTTCTCGATTGTCTATAAAATAGCTACGTGGGGAAATCTTTGAACCATGGAGTCATCACAATTTCCAGACATTTACATTATGTAGAAGACTTTTATACGCCATTACTAGAAAACACCTAAGCTTTCAAGTAGCTTCTATAACGAAATTCCAAGAGATAAAACTTAATGGAGTCCTGTGTTGGAGATAAGACGATGTTGCAACGAAATGTACTGAGACTGGAGAAAGTAGAGGCTTGTTGCATAGAGTCCAGGAGTTCAATGAGCGCAACTCTTGAAAATGATCGTAATAGTTCATTAGAGGCAGGAATACGCTCATTTTATTTCGACGGCAAAACAACGTTTAATAAATCGTAGTTAGTAGGAAAACTTTAAATTTCAACCAGACGTGTAGTTTATATTTTATAATTTCTTAATTTCTGGCTGTCATTTCGTTTCTTTCTTCTTAATTGAATTGTTGTTCCTTTTCATTTGTTATTTGCTTATTTTGCCGTAACTCAATTAGTTGAGACACTATGCTACAAGCTGAAAGGTCGCGGGATCGTATCTCAATAAGATTGAATATTTTTTTCAATTTACCTAATCCCTCCAGCCGCACTGACTCTGGTGTCGACTCAGTCTCTAACAGAAATGAGTATTAGGAATATTCTTGGGGGGTGAAGGGCAGCCGGAGCGTAGGGCTGACAACCTTACCGCCATCTATGAGCCGATTGTCTAGAAAATGTGGGAACCTCAACATCTCACAACCCTATGGGCCTCCACGGCCTGTTACGGGGATACATTTACTTTTTTACTTTTTATACACTAATTTCATGTATTCATTAATATTTTTCTTCCTCCTGCGCCGAATCGTTTATCATATCTAAAATCCTCTTAATTTTCCTCCGTTTCTTCATGAGAATTTCTTGTTGATGATATATAAAGAGCCCCGGACGCTTCTTACAGCTCTTTCTACCTACCACTCCTTTCATCTTCATATCTCATTCACATTACAAAAACCTGAATCTGATGCAACATTATTAAATAACCATAAAGGTAATATAAATCTTAAGTCGGCAACGTTTTCATGTACAAGCATTGTAGCGCTCTCCTTCTGTATTGCCACTGGACTTCCAGGCTGTGAACACTAACCCCTGACGAGTTCTTTTATTAGCTTAGATTTGATGTTAAATTAAAATCTGCAAAAAGCGAGTATTTTGAACAAATATTTCCACATTTGTTGCAAGTACATCTGACCCGAAATCAAGTAAACTGCAAATAAGCAGTGATGTTTCCTGTAAAAGTAAGTAAAGCTATCTCTGTAACAGGCCGTGAAGGCCCATAGGGTTGTGAGACGTTGAGGGTCCCACATTATCTAGATAATCGGCTCAAAAATGGCGGTAAGGTTGTCAGCCTTACGTGCTGGCCGCGCTTTACTCCCCAAGAAAATTATTTAATTAGTTCCTGGTACTCATTTTTGTTAGAGGCTGAGTCGGCTCCAGGACCATAGTGCCACTGGAAGGATTAGGTCAAATGAAAAAATCCAATGACCTCATCGGGACTTGAACCCGCCACCTTCTGGTTTGTAGCATAGCCCTGTACTTTTCTATATATGATCATTCGATAAAACAACTGAAACATCTGTCGAGCGGAATCACCTGTCATGTACTTATGGAGTTTAGTAAAGAAATATGCTGGAAATATTTTCTTATATCTTTAACGGCTTTGAAAAAAATGACGGAAATTTCGAGTAAAGCAACGTACGAAGATTGAACAGAAGCTTGTAATCACGGAAGAAAATCGAAGTAAAATACTGGCTAAGGATTCAGTTAATGGAGGGAGTAATTAAAAATATAATTTTGAATATTAGAAAAGGAAACATTGTCGATGAAATAGAACACAGTGTACGTACATGTTCTCAAGGAGAACTCTGGATCTCAAGAGATAAACAATTATTCAGATTTCGTTAACAAAGGACTTGAGGACTCATCTGTTTGAGGAGTTAGAATTATTGAATGACATAACAGTTTCTCTCGGAAAGTGCATGGTAATAACTTTTTATTGATCCTTTTGTCTTACTCTACAGACCTTCCTATTTCTCTGCAGTTGGTGTCGCAGTCATCGCCAAGTACTTATTAACATAATAACAGCTCTCCATCTTTGGGAACACTCACGCAACTTGGTAGGGATATGATATAATTTCGTGTACTTGGCAACGGCCTCTAAGCATCGTCCGATAAGATTTGTAGTTCATTTCATGTCCGTCTTAGTAACCGTCGACATTCGATAAAACTTTTACACACTTTCACATCCGTAACTGTTAAAAGCCAGCGTGTGTAGGAGTATGTGTGTTTGTTTGCTTGCACTCACAGAGGAAAGGGACCTCTGCGGAAGAAACACTGAGATAATGTTGAACTACGTAAAGTTTTCATGCGGATGTTGCCCGAGCTACTACGCACTTAAGGCTGAGCTGGGGGAACGGGGATGTTCAGGCGGTGGTTGCAGAATGTCAATGTTTTTCTCTTACATATTGAGTCTGTATGTACCGATGGATGGATAAGATGAATTACTCGATGGATGATGGAATAATTTGTTGGCTAGCTGAATAATAGCCTCTCTCTGTATATGAATAAGCAAAACGATAAAAGATCACGTTAATCCTAGTAAATAATTTTTACCTCTTCGTCTAAGAACATATAATTACAGTAATCATAATGGATCGTTTTGACGAAAAGAGCAACAATATTATATTGTAGCATCCTGTTGCACTAACGTGGATGGCCAGAACGTTGCTAGACAACTGACCGGTAAACACCTCGTTACCGAATACACACAAGGAAACAATGGAAATTATATATCAGTAGTGGGATGTTTCTGCGTGTTGCTAGGCAACGGCGCACTTATGGAGACTCTGGCTACGAATCGTGTGACTTGTTCTCTATGTGGTCTTCCTTATGCAACAATGGAACTGGGTTTTCTGTACGTGGTTCTTGTGGAGGCTATACTCGTATAACGAGAATAACACCAGCAATTCCATTCAGTTGTCGGTAGGATACAGCCATGGGAAGTGCGTAGAAGAACTGTGAATACTTAAAATGTGATTAGAAGATTATATTCATGTGTAATACAGTACTTGGAGTGTGTGATTCAATGAGACTATTGTAGTTCCTCTGTTTCAATTGCGTTTCCAGGAGAGGACAAGTGTGTGCGTAATTCACCGATAGCGCTGTATTTAAATGCGATTAAGAGAACTTGTAACGAAAGTGCTAATAAATATAATCATCCGAGCTAGACACCGTCATTTTCGTCACGCGTACCACCCTAGATGTGACATTATTTAGTACCAGTTAGTTCTACAGTCTCACGTACAACATTAATGTTCCATACAATTTATTAAAAGATGTTCGCTTCAAAATTTTGTTCTACATGTCTCATCCAGTGTGGTCGTCATCAATATGGCAAGTGAAAAGGAATTCATATAGGATACTGCTGGGAAAGTCAGAAAGAGAGAGAGACCACTGGGAAGATCAAGGCGTAGGTGGGTGGGTTGACAATATTAAAATGGATCTTAGAGAGATAGGATGGGATGGGATGAATTAGATTCATCTGGTTCAGGATAGGGACCAGTGGAGGGCCCTTGTGAACACGGCAATGAACTTTCGGGTTCCATAAAATGCTAGGAAATTCTTGAGTAGCTGCAGAATTGGAGGGCTCAGCTCCATGAGTAAGTAAGTATGGGCGAAATCGGAATAGACCAGACAACTTTTAGGGAAAGTCTCTCACAAACGAATTTTAGGAAAATTTTAAAAAGAATTTAGGTGCTCATACCACGTCAAAGAAAGGCGAACAGACTGACAGCTGCGACATCCAGATAACGCTTTTTTACTTTTCAAGGAAAATGACACGTACGAGTAGGTGTTTATGTTCAGCATTAGTAGCCTATATGAAACTACGTATAACTCCATACGTTGTTTCGAAACGGGTATGGAACATTATCAAACTTATGTGAGAAAAATGTCGCTGAAAGCAGCCCATAAGTATTCAGTTGTTCAAGAAATTCTCTCTTATATGTATAGACATCGTGACAAAATTGCCATCAGTGAACCGTATCCACAATCTAATCCAATTCTCACCTCCGCACATCTCCCTTCTCTAGATTTCGTTTCAGCTTTCGAGATAGTACCACCTATAAACAAAACTGATTTATTTCCACGACAGCATTTTCAAAGAAAATTCCTTAATGGTTTTGTCTTCTGGTTTACAATACCATGTAATTTCGTAGCTGCTTGGTAAGGTTTCGGAGGAATTGATGTCTCTGCAAGTTCCATTCAAACATTTACAATCAGTGAAACATTCGTAGATGATGTCATAACACAGATGAATATAACCTTAATTTTCCCCATGCGGTAGCGTAGTTGGTTGAGGCACTTTTCTGCAAGCCAGAAGGTTGCGGGTTCGAGTCCCGATGTGGTGGATTTTTTTAATTTACCTAATCCTTCCAGCCACACTAAGGCTCTGGGGCCGACTCAGTCTCTAAGAGAAGTGAGTACCAGGAACTTTCCTGGGGGGAGGGGGGATGTAATTGGCGGCCGGCGCATAAGGTGCATAACCTTACCGCCGTCTGCAAGCCGATTGTATACAGAAAATGTAGGAACCTCGACGTCTGATAATCCAATTGGCCTTCACGGCCTCTTACAGTGATAGGTTTATGAATATGTAACATCCAATTCAAATACATTGTCATCTTATAGGTCTAAGTGCTTCTTATGCAGAGCAATTCAATCTCTGGTTTAATAACTTTCGACATTTGCGTGCAGTGCGCATTCCAGCAGGTGTCACGAAATTGTACGTCTCATATTAGGAGTACGGTTCTTGTTTCGATATTAAATTGAATTCAGTTACTGAACAGATGTTCAGATGGCGTAGCGCGAAAACTCTGGAATTTAAAACCTTTCCCGGAACAACGGTTATCCTGATTGAGTCCCTTCAGGAGAATCCTAGGATAATACCGCGATTAGACAATCGTTTCTTCATTCCAGGTCTTTCCCAGGTTTGTCATCCTGCCATTCAAGGCTGCATTTTAGAGGTACGGACAGAGTAGTAACATAGCACTGAAGGTGAGCAAGAGAAACAAATACATTCACTTCTTCAAATATAAATGCCTTGTCCAGTTATTAGGTTATGCAGCTACTATATGTTCCATCCAATTCTAATAACTGGAAAAGTCAAGAGCTCTTTCCCCACTCATCCTAAAATTACTGGTGTAGGCCATAGCTGTGGAGACCACATTATAATCTCTTTACACACATATATGTGGCTTCAAAGAAAAAATAATGTTTAGTCTATATACTTGTAACTTATACAATGCATGCAATTTAAACTAATTATAATTTCAGAAGGCCTCGTGCATGTGACGTTGGATTTACGAGTCACGTTATGTGAAACACTCGAAGTCATGACCCAGGAAACAAGTATTGTTAAAAGTAAAAGGCTTTCTTATGACCTCAAACCCAAAGTTCATGTTGAACTTTCAAGCATGCTGTATGATTGAAAAGTTTTCACGGCTCACAATAGAGCCTCTCATGTCACTGATCATCATATTAAATCACCCAACAAAGAAATTGAAGAATTTAAGATATATTTGTACATTATTTAACAACATTGGACATGTTTCAGATGTTATTTGGAGTCAAAAATAAGAGAAAATTAATAAATGGCGAATTCGAATGAATGTGAGATGAAACAGTCTTGTCCAGAGTCAAGATCGAGGGACGGAAGAAAACTACAAGAGCACGTAACTCATTGTAATCGATTCTCCAGTTACAATCCAAACCGAGTATCTTCTTCATAAAACACAGACACAAGCGCATAACCAGGGTTTCCACTCAGTGCCTGATAATCTGATAAAACTTAAATTCGTTTATAAGCGGGTTCCTGAAAACAATAAAACCAATTATTATCTATGCTTCGCTCCAGTCGTTAGCAAAAGGAACCAGCTTTAAAGGAATTGATGTTTATGAAACTGTACGCAATAGATGCACTTTCGTCTCTCTTCTTTATTTACATCAAAACAAACTGGGTCACTATTGCTGCTAAAACAACATAGATTGAGTTGTGTTTGATGAAGAAAATTTGTGAAGAGCACCCAGTCCAACTAAATCGTGACATTAATAAATGAATAGCCACCTGCCATGCTAGATCGGTATGTAACGTACTGATATATTGGGTTTGTGGACTTTATCCATCGTCCTGGTTTTTAAGATAACTAATAAAAACACGACGTTTCGGAAACTGGATCTGTTTCCGTCCTCAGGTGAAGGAAAACGCCTATTCTGTTTGGTCCGTTAGAAATCAATCACTGGACAAACCGATGTCACAAAACATGAAGATTATAAACACCTGAGACCAGGCNATAATAAGAATTACCTTCAGTTTGTCTGCATTAGAGTACTACGTGTGTAGAGTGATACTATCAGGTAATGCATATATCAACACAGGGTTCGACATCAAACGGACAGCTATGATCATCATGCAACACAAATTAATTCTCTCTGAACGTCGGGTTTTCAGAAAATGACGGCAGGAGATGACAATTTCTAATGTTTATAACCTTTTAACCAAGGCCCTCTAGTTGGGTATTCCAAAGAATATTTTAAATTGTTTAATGACCAGAAATCTTCTCTAAAATACACGTATGTTATGTAAAAAAGGAGGTACTCTGTATGTATATTTGCTCATATAAATTGCGACTTGTTGACCAAATGTGACTTTCAACCGCAACGCGCCTTTAGCGTTGTCAAAATAATTGTGTTGCTGCAATTCCTCCTGAGGATGCGGAAGCTGACAAAAGGGAAATTCTATAGCAAAGAAAACATGTTGTGTCCTCTCTTGTATTATTCTTGGCATAACATTTCGCCATGCTAGACAACGACCCGACCATGAAAGGAGCAGTTACTAAATAACGGCTTCCCAAAAAATCATGTTTCCACGGCAACAATGGCACAGCAATAAAGGAGCAGTGTTTCCTCTGCGGTCCGTGCCGAGATATTTTAAGCAGGATAGTCAGTGAAATGAATCAGTTGAGTTAAATTGAGCTGAGGTAGCTGGTTTGTGAGTGATTGAGTCGCTGGCTTCCCATCGCTGCGGCCCGTGTTCGATCCTGGGTCTTGTCAAGTGGGATTTGTGGTGGACAAATTGGCGCTGGGGCAGGTTTTCTCCGAGTACTTCGGTTTTCCCTGCCAATCTTCCTTCCACCAATTGCTCCACAATCACCCTCACCTATGATCTGGGGCTGGTACAATAGGCCAGAAGTGGCCGCAGTGCAAGGGACTTAGTCCCCCCCCCACTAGAAAAAAAAAACGTCATGTAAAAATGCATAATGAAACAGACGGAAAGTCACTGAAATTTTGACAGTAATGAGGAATGGTAAATGGGAACGTGCATAAATAAAAATGTCAGGAGAATATTTTTTATTTTATAAACAAGAATATACACATGCAACATAACATTCAACACATGCAGAATATAAGAAAAAATCTTAATACAGCTATGTCTCCAGTATTACATCCTGGCCAGCTTTTTGTTTTAAATACATTACAAAGTTCTCAGATAGAGACTGCATAACAGCCAGTGATCTCAATCGATATCGAATAATCGACACAATATCCAGTAAACAATTTAATATCAATTTGAAAATCGATCATACGTAATTTCCCATTAAATTCGTTTCAAATTAAAATTATGAAGCATATATATTCCCACGTCTTAATGAAGTAAAGATTCACTTTGCACTCTATGAAACTTGCTGATCAATTTCAGTCTCAGACCGCCTTGTTCCCACAGGAGTAACCTCATCATCCATTATAGACTGCTCAGTCAATAGGCTGACCAGGTTACGGACCGGAGAAATGGATTCATTGGTGGTGGAGGTTTTTCTCCATGCCATCACTCCCAGGCCTGCTGTCGGCTCCACTCAGCCTCTCACACAATGAGTACCAGGGACTTTGTCCAAAGATAAAGCATTCAGGGCGTGACAACACTCAACCCCATCAGGTGCCGAGGGTTAGGATATGCTGTGGCTATACCTCCAAAGGATGTCTTTGTGCAATATTGGGCTCCAGTATCAATTTTTATCTATCATATATTCTTGTTAATCCTGAATCAGTCCCATGATATTTCTACAAAAAAAAACGAAAAAGATAAATTTTCCAGTACCTAACCAAACTCCGGCTGCCCAGTCACTTAATTGAACGAGAAATCAAGATCCATGGCATTTGTAATGTCAAACTCCATATCAACAGCTCACCACTTCACTCTTTCTTGCAGACTTCTTGACAACTGGATCATGAGGTAGCTTACTTGGCTACACACAAGACTCTCACAAAGAAGGTCTAGGTCCAAACAGAGTAGAGCCCATAATGGATCTGTGGTCGACACAAGGGGCATTAAGGAAGAGTTCTCCCTGAGTTTTTCAATATTATCTATCAGTCCTTACCCCATCAATGCCCCATGTTTGTCTCACAGAACATGAAGCATGTGAAAGACAAAATGCAGACCATAATTTGCAGCTTCGTGTTCAAATAAAGACATTCAGTCTGCTTTAGTTCACTGAACGTCTACCTACATATTATCAAAAAAAAAAAAAAGCATTAATTTCACATCACGGTTAAAGGATCTCCTACCAGCGTGTAGATTTTATTGATCGATAACCCTTCTAACAATTTAGAACCTCCTTGAGAACTAATTTGAGAGAATAGTTTGATATTTAGGTTAAAATTGGCAGTGCATACTTAAAAAGAAAAGTTATTTTATAGTAAAGAACTTGGAATTGTAACTGTATTCACAGTCGTGGATATACAAATATATAATGAATGTGAAGAAATTGACATCATCTTAGTATATTGAAGTCTATCAAACAACTGAAAATATTGGGGTGGTTAGTGACAAGACTGCAGAAGTAATGAAGTAATGGAGAAATACAGACAAGTTAGGAGGAGGCATTAAAGGTAACGGAGTTAATACGTATAAAATAGAATGAATGGTGTTGACTGGGAAAGATAATTGATACGATAGACTTCTATAAAGGAGAGGTGAAGGAACATGATAATTGGCTTGTCAGGAAAAGAGAGCATAGAGAGGGTGCATAAGAAGAAATTTACAATCTTCATAACCTAAAGACAAAAGAAAGGAAGTTTGTACAAGTAAATAGAAAAGGAGATCAAGTTATGGATATTTGATAGTGGAATGACAATTTCCATTCCACAGCTAAATTATATATACAATATACTCGTATATCATACATTTGTACGATTGAAAATATTGTCCACAATTAGCTGTAATATCGATGGTAGGAATGTCGCGTATTGGACATACGGTGCCTACCCTAATATTGGATGCGGCTACAAGAGGAGCCCAAAATTAACGAAAGGGATTAAATTTGGATGCAAGAGACCAATGACTTGAGGCATAAACACTATCAGCTACAAGTCTGTTGCAGAAAAATTTCCGGTGTAGGGACACGAAGTCACTTAAGCCCAATGGAGAGAGGATGGTCTTCATATAGGTGTGACGACTCCGGTGTCCGAGACGTCATCTGCTGGAGGACGACAACGGATCCTCCTCACAAGCACGTAAACCAGAACTGCCGACAACACGAGGAGCATATACCGTACGGCGAACTGAATATGACGTGTTGTGAAGGTCAGGTGGTACAACATATCCATGATTTCCTCGGGCAGCCCGTCAATGCCCTGTAAGGCAGAATTTAACAGTAACAATTGTCTCTCTCTGTCCCATCCACCGTCCCATATTTTCGTAGGACACTTTTACACTTGAAAGCGCTGTTATTTCATCGTTTCTAACGCTTCTAGCTTGCGCTCAGGATGTTTCCGAATGCAGATTTCTGTGGTTTTCCTCAGTCCCTCTATAAAATGCTGGGTTATCAGTGCTCACATTAAGTCACAATTTGTTCCTTCTGTGTCCACTCCAATTCATGACTAACTAGCCAAATTTCCATTCCTTCTACACTACAGATCGATCGTTTGAGATAGTAAGAGCGTAGTTAACCAATCTCAGAAGGCTGCATTCTTGATATTCCCCGACATGAGAATATCAAAAGCGATATTTTAAAGGATGCCGTCTTCTGGGATATGGGGCTGTATGGATGTTGTTTGAACCGACATTTCGGAGGAACGTATCACCTCCATCTTCAGGGTAGAAAAATCCGCGAGCAAGGAACCAGGCTGTAGCCAACTGCTCAAGCTGGTTATTTTGCTTGCGGATTTTTCTACCCTGAAGATGGAGGTTATACATTCCTCCGAAAAGTAAGTTCACACAAGATCCATGAGGCGCAACATCCAAGAAAGCGTCATTTTTCATAGTCATCGCCGTGAAAACCTCAAATATTACATGATATTTTAAATTTCTAATAATTTAACAGCAGCATAAATTATTTTGTTAAAAATTAAAAATGTGTTAAGTAACGGTGTCAGCGCCGTAAGCATTCAATTAACGTCCGATATTTGAAGAGTGGCCTAGTATTAGTACCCAAACTGAAAATAAAAGCTCAGACTCATTAATCAGAAATTATTATTTTGCTCAATTTTGAAAGAATTCGCGTCAGGGTCATTAAACGAAACACGGCTTGAGTCCAGCATTACAGTCTGTAACGATGATGCAGCAGTGAGTTCTGTGCAGCGGAGATGGGGTTGTCAGTGTAACGCTTAGGATATGAAATGGGCGATCCAGGATTCGGAGTTCATTCTCACTAGGTTACGAAATTTTGTCTTCTCTACAATATCCAGGGGACACGCGGTGACGTAGTTGGTTCAGGGGCTTATGCTACAAGCCGGAAGTTTCGCTGAATCGAATTCCTATGAAGTGGATTTTTTCAATTGACGTAATCCTTCCAGCCGCGCTGTGGCCCTGGAGTTCACTCAGCCTTCAACAGAAATGAGTACCAGGAATTAAATAAATAATTTTCCTAGGGAATAAAGGGCGGCCGGCGCGTAGGACTGACAACCTTACCGCTATCTATGAACCGATTATCTATAAAATGTTGGAACCTCAATATCTCACAACTCTATGGGCCTCCATGGCCTGTTATATGGGTAGCTTTACGTTTTACTTTTTTTACAAGGTCTCACCCGGCTTCCTTCTGTACTCTGACCTCCTCCCAGAGAGCAAAGCAGTTGGGGTGTGAAGTCAACCACTCACTTCTATCTACTCGTAGTTTCGAAGCTAAAAATTCTTCAGGCGCGTCCATATTATTCGTGCTCGTGCTCGTGTGACTCGCTATGCTTGCGAGTAGTGTGGACGATATGAGAAGTCACGAGACAAGCAAATTTTAAATTTTAAATTTAAAAACTGTAGCCAATAAATTAAAATAAGACTACACCCTGTACACACTACGAGTAAACATACGGGTGTGGGACTTGGTCCTTGACGTTAATGGAATAACATAGACTAAGAGTATTTGGAAACATGGCGCTAAGAAGAATATATAGGCATAAGAGGGATTAAATACCAGGATTTCTGAGGAAGCTGCATAATCAGGATCTTCATAAATTGTACTCTTTGCAAAATATAATTAGAATGAACAAGTCAAAGATGACATGGACGGTACATGTAACACGCATGGAGGAGAAGGGAAATGCATGTAGGGTTATGGTGGGAAAGTCAGAAGGAAAGAAACCATTAGCAAGATCTAGACGTAGGTGAGAGAGTAACGATATGATCGATCTTAGAGAAATCGGATGGGGCGGTATGGACTAGATTAATCTGGCTCAGGATAGCGTCCATTTGGAGGCTCTTGTGAGCAGAGTAAAGAACCTTCGGGTTGGGAAATTCTCGAGTAGTTGAGCGACTGGCAGCTTATCAAGAAGAATTCACCATCATGGGATATGAAAATAAAATAAAATAAATTAAATAAAGCAGACCTCGTTTAACTGTGGGGCCTAATTATAACTATTATTTATCCGTTGACACTTAACAAAATACACGGAATAATTATTTATGATCATACTGCAGTGTAAATGATTCTGAATAAGAGTTTTGTATCTGCGGTGTGTGATCGTCGAGTCAGGCGTAGAGCCAGAAAGAAATAATTTTGACGACATGCCTTCTGTAGAATGGAGTGAGCTTTCTCATGATATATTACTATCAGGGAAAAACTGGAAACAAATTCCTTCCCACTATCTTTCCTAAAATTACATCCACTTGCTATTTCATTTCTCGTAGGTTCAGATCTTCTCAAGTCACGTTCATTCATTCATTCATTGATAATTTATGTTAAAATAAGTTCAATTAAACTTTTAACTTAGTCTAATACATACCACATAAGAAATACTTACCACTTCGAACCAAGCAATTGGAAGTATGGAGCCATCCTTGAAGTTTGCAAGGTGCTGCAACGTTTTGGATTTCCTGACCAATATGTTCATCTGAAACCGGGATTTTCCGTCCAAAGGAACTCCCAACTCCTGCAATTAAAACCCCAGTAAGAACTCCCCATCTCTTTATAGCGAAACTTGACCTCTTATCAAGCTATTGCGAATATAAGTAGGTTAACCAAACCTACAACAACCCAAACTCATATTTGTAACAATATCCAATTCCGAACTAAGTAAGTCTATGGAGCTCAGCTATTCTTCAGAAGCCGCTAGACCCTCGGCTACTCAATAATTTCCCAATATACTGCTTCGAAGGTTTATTTCCGTGTTCACAAGAGCCCTCCACTGATCCTGAGTCAGATCAGTCCAGTCAATAACAAACCATAGTGTCTCTCTAAGATCCATCCCCTTACGTCTAGGCCTTCCTAGTGATATTTCTCCTTCTGGCTTTCCCATCAAATTCCTTCAAGCATTCCTCACCTCCCCCATGCACCCATTCCCAATCTCTGACCATATAACAAGGCTTATCATTAAATTTCCTTCTCAAAGCTGATCTTAAATTAAAATTAAAATTAAATTCACTTAGTGGGGGGTGTGGAGTCCAACTGGGTCCACTCGACACGGCGGCCACTAATTGGCCTATCGTAGCCTGCCCTGGGTGATTATGATGTTGGAGAATTTTGTGGAATGAAGATTGGCAAGGGATATCGAAGTACTCTGAGAAAACCCGCCCAGCGCCAATTTGTCCACCACAAATCCCACTTGACCAGACCCGGGATCGAACCCAGGCCGCCGTGGTGGGAAGCCAGCGACTAACCGCATGAGCTATGGTGCGGCCAGATCTTAAATTCAAGTTACCTGAAACTGCATGGGCTTAAAATTCTTTACTGAAATTACCTCAGTGTATTTTACATAAAACAAGTTACTTCACTTTCCATCAGATAACTAAATTTTCTTCAACACTGAAATGTAGTACATATTTTCTTTTACATCTGTCGTTTAAATTGTGAAAGGAAGGGCTTCTTTTAAGTACCGCTCAGAAAATATAGTCCAACTTGCCTCGTGTACATCCAAATATCCATCGTGCTTTTCGGGGTCGGGTTTCAACCCTTCTACTGTCTCTAGCAGAATGGGATCGCCCAGGTAAAAGTGAGGAAAAGACATCATGATGGGCGCACCTGCAACAGACAATCCAGGAGTTCCAGAACTAAACTCGTAGTCATGATAAACCGACATCATTAGACTCCTCAAAAAGCGTAATAAACATTCATAAACAAAATATTTATTTTCGAAAAACAAAGAAGAAGGGAAAAAAATCGTTGGTATATAGAAAAATTGAATCAGTATTTTCTCAGCCCTTGGATTTTATTTCAGGTTTTGAATGTGATTATGAAAAATAATTTGTTTACGATCCGGCTATCGTATCTCCCGTCACTTTTGTAACTCAGTAATTCCGAGTGTTATGCATCATCGTTAGAACACACTAGAACTGATTGTTGTTGTTTCTGTTTTTTTGCTGTTGATCTTTCCGCTACCATCGTCCTCTTTCATAAAACTTTACTTTCTGTACGGTCAGTAAAATAATGAGAGCGTTATATTGTTGTTGGGATGTTTGTGAATTTTAACTTCCCGATATCGACATAAGAACCACACGAAGTAATCGTTTAAGCGACTTTTACCTCTCTCGTTCTGATCACTCTACGTCTGTCTTTAGGGAAAACTGTTACAATGGCCTAACCAAAATGTTAACATCCAAATTTTTAAATTATCGTAAACGAGTCCTTTGATGTAAATGACTTTTTTTTAAACTTCTCATCTCAAGCAAAGGGGCGGCTATATATTTCAATAAATGGATACATCTCTTTATCCGTCGTTATAATAACAATACTGGTCATGTTCATGTTTCTTGCCATTCTCCCAGTGACCTTAGTGAACTTCTCTTCCTCCTAAGACTGAAAGTCGCTGTTGAGTGTCTATGTTTCCCTGCTTAATATTCAGGAGATTCCCGGTTAAAATCACTGGTTATTCACACAGGTTATTCTGATTTAAGTATTTCATGGGTTTTCTCAATACCTTTAGGAAGTATTTGGATATTGCCTCAAATTAGGTCCCAGTTTTTCCCCCAGATTCTTTCCAATTTATCGTTCCTAATATACATGTTATATATTCTGAGTCACTGAAAACGTCCTTAAAATATAAAAAAAATAAATACGTAAATTAATAAACCTTCAAGTGTGCTGAAAATGGTAAAATATTGTTTCAAATTTGGTTATTCTCTTTATATTCATGACCTCTGTCTTTGACTGGTGTGTATGTAAATATTCGAGCATGTAAGGAGTCTCACAAATAAAAAAATGGTTTGATGAGACGTTTTTTCACTGATACAGGCAATCAGAATTTGCACTACCATAAGTACATGGTGAAGCATCGAATACCCCGGATGGTGGGCAAAACCCCATCTCAAATCGACAGTAACAAGCATTTTGCGGGTTGACGTCGGGTTTTGCGAACAGGTCACGTGGTGCTCGGAACCTTAGGCCAGGGATACCGTCGTGCACCTGAAACAATAAGCATTGATAGTAACAACTGTGAGTATTGGTTTCCTGAAATGATTTTCGTGTCGCAACATTCAAATTCACTCGATGAATTTTCCTTTTGGCGGATTTCTTTTTGAATGTCACACAAAAGTATTTTTAAAATGTAATCAAGGAGGATGAGGTGGGCAGGGTATGTAGCACGAATGAGGAGAAGAAGAATACATATAGGAAATTGGTGGGAGAGCCAGAAGGAAAGAGACCATTGGGAAGACAAAGGAGTAGGTAGGTGGACAATATTAAAATGGACGTTAGAGAGATAGGATGGGATGGTATGAACCTTCGGGTTCCATAAAATGCTGTGAAATTCTTGAGTACCTGCAAAATTTGCGGCTTCTAAAGAAAGACCCAGCTCCATGAGTGAGTGAATGTTAAATGCCAATACAAACTCTCTTCACCTGTAAATTTAAATCTGCATTCATGGTGGAAGATGGGATAAATCAGACATATGGGTACAGTTCCTTCTCAATCAATCGTCATGTGAGCTATATTATCCTGGCTTTAAGTAAGTGGAAGGTCACGTTCCCCTTTCAGAAGGAAGCACTAATAAACACGAAATCCTTCTCATGCTTTACACGCACAAAATGCACGAAGTGAAGACATGTTCCGTTCGTCTACCCGTCCGTCTGTATATGTTATAACCCTGACAACACTTAAGAGATTTCGACTAAATCTGGGGGCATACACGGCTTCTCATTGCGTTATTTACGTATTTCAACCAAACTTCTATGGGAATATATTAAGAGAATTACTTTTAAGCATAGCTCTCAAGGGGCACTCGGTAACATAGTTGGTTGAGGCACTATACTACAAGCTGGAAGGTCGCGGGATCGAATACTGATGAAGTGGATATTTTTCAATTTACCTAATCCTTCCAGCCGCACTATGGCCATGCGGTCGACTCAGCCTCTAACAGAAATGGGTACCAGGAATATTCCTGGGGTAAAGGGCGGCCGGTGCGTAAGACTGACAACCTCACCGCCATCTGTGAGCCGATTGTCTAGAAAATGTGGGAACCTCAACATCTCACAACCCCATGGAACTCCACGGTCTGTTACAGGGATAGCTATACTTTTACTTTACTTTTACATAGCTTGCAAACATTAATAAATATGTGACTGTAACACCAAGTCATAACCGTTGCTCTACTTTTTGAGATATATATAGGCGTGTTTTATCAAATTCATCAGAAATTGTTAATCTCATTTCGACTGTAGCTTTTGTGTAGGCCATTAAACACTCTCACACGATATTTAGGGCTATTTACTAATTCAAACAGATGAAATGTAGTGTCATTTCTACGAGTCGTGACATCATATATCTTTTAAGTCAAACCCTCTCAGCTATTTTGCAAGCAAGCAAATATTAGCTATTTTCTTACAGTAAGTACTGTGCCTGATCTCCACACCAAGATGGCACTTCCTTACTTTCTCGTACAGCCGACGTAACACAGAGAAAGTGCGCCCGGTATCCTGAACTCAGTCTCTACATTTTACTGGAGAAAAGCGAATACGGAAGTGTAAATTCGGGAATTCCTTTTGCCATTCTGTCAGTCTGTTCATCATGGATTACTTTTATATTCGGTCTTAATAAGCGTTTACATGCTACACAGGTGTTCAATGAATACGAATAAATAATGTTGAACTTTGTATACAAATCTTTATATTATGCATCATATTGTGTTGACGGATACGTTACCTAACCATATAGTTTATATACTGAAATGAAAATGTACAATGTCCTTCGTTTTCTCCGAAAAGGTTATGAATCAGAAAAATCTCATATATTTAGGGAAATGACAAATAGTGTGCATGTCATGCATCTAGATTACTGCATTTTCTTTGGGTGTATATGTGATATGAGAAAGTGACTGAATATACAGCGGGTGAACAAAATAATGGAAATATTATGAAATTGAGGAATAGAATTTCTTTGTGTCGGTTACATTAAAAGAACTTCAGTTGGCAACATTAGATGTTCTTTTTTCGTTTGTTTACACAGTTTAGTGTTCGTGTCAGTGCATTAGTAATTTTGCTGTGTGATTTCGTGTGAAAAAAAAAATCGGAAAATGGGTGGTCCGATTTTGAAAAAGGACAGATTTTTAGTTCTCGTTTAGCCGGAATATCTGTGACAAAAACTGTCACACTATTAGGTACATCGAGAGCGAGAATTTATAAGTTATGTCGACATACACAAACCATGCGAAGAAAATAAGAGCGAAGAGGAACCGTGACCGAAATTCAACACTGACAGAAAGGCATAATCATACATTGATAAGGATTGTTTTCGAAGAATTACAGAACTACTGCGGCAGATATGATCACAGAACTGAATATGTTCACATCTTGGAGACACTCTTTCCATATAAACTGTCCGAAATGAGCTTCACAAATCCAACATCCACGGCAGCGGTAGGAATGCAATTGCTAAACCTCTGATTACTTGAAATAATTCTGAGATGCGTAAACTCTGGAGTCACTACCATGAAACGTGGATATCAGACAAATTGAAATACACGCGTGATATGGTCAGATGAGTCGTCGTTCACGCTGTTCCCTACATCAGGAAAAGTTTACATTTGGAGACACTTAAGGAAACCTACAGTCGGGAATGTCTGGTTCCAACAGTGAAGGATGGGTTAGGTTCTGTGATGGTTTGGACAGCAAAATCGTGGTACTCCGTTGGTCCCATCATTAGCCTTCCCTGGCCGAATTACTGTAAGGGAGTACGTGAAAGGGTTGGATAATCAGGTGCATCTCATGTTTCAGACGTTAATTCCAAGCAAAGATACAAATTTTTCAAGACGACAGTGCCACCCTTCACACAGATGGATCTGTTCAGTCATGACTGAAGAGCATCTTCCCTGGTCAGTATTATCACCAGGTTTCAACACCAATGAACCACTCTGGTCAGTTTTGGAGACTTGAGTGAGGAACAGATTCCCACCTCCAACATATTTAAAGCAACTTAAAATTTTCTTCAAGAAAAATGGTAAAACATTCCACTAGAGACTCTTCAAAACTTGTACGAATCCATTCCAATGAGGATTGTCGCTGTATCGAAGGCAGAAGGTGGTCCAAGACCATATTAATAAAGAAATGTGTACAGTATCTGTAGTGTTTCCATTATTTTGTACAACCCCTGTATTTGGCATCATCTATTTTTCGTAACCAGACAAATCTCTCACTTCGGGCTCTAACGCCTTCATGCATGTAACATTCTTATGATCTACTTTCTCATATGTAAACACTCTTTTGGTGATTTTCCAGATGCCTTCCTCTTTGAATAATAGCCACAGGGTAGCAGGCTCTACATATAAAACTACAAGCCTTGTATAAGAGGTGGGCCTTCTTGGTTTTGCACCGCGACCTACAGTGGTCTACTGTGTTTAGCTACAAGCCTTAGTACTGAAATATGTGTATTGCATTCAGGGACACCGGATAAAGCTGACATGACGTCAGGAAAAAATAATTAGATAACAAAATGAATCCAGGTTACCTCTGCAGTATATGATCTCTTGTAGCATGAAATTGCTCTTATTCAGTCTGATCTACTGACACCGGAAATTCCATTGTTGAAAAATATGGAAGACGTTACTTTACTTTATTAGGACGAAAGAAATATATGAACGGCTGTAACAAATTTTAACGCAGTTAAAAAAATAAACGTCTAACACTAATTTGTATCATTCATGCAGTTTAAATATTCTAATTGGAAGCACAAATTTAGATTTAATTCTTTTATTTAAATATAATTTTAGTACAGATAAAGGCAATATGCAATAGGATTTGGGGTTTTTACGCCCGTGACACTGAAAAGCGCTGTGTTCTGGAACTTAATGTCATGTATTCTGATGGATATTAACCGACATTTCAGAGGAAGGTACTGCCCGAATCTCCAGGTTTAAAGATCATAAAAAGTAATCAGAAGCTACAGTTCCTCGATGCTTAATCTCCCTGAAGATGGAAGAAGAACTTTAGTTCTTCTAACGGCGACCTTCTACCAGACTTCATGATGGGACATCCCAGAAGACAGCGCTCTGCAATATATAAAGTTTACGTCTAACTCTTTGGGAAATTTTGAGACTTCTAATCTATAATCCTTTACGATATCAACGTCTACGGTGTTATTACGGAATTATATTTGACCTAACATTCAGATAATATAATCCTTAGGACGGAGTGAGACTGAGTCCATTTGGAATGCTAGCAATTACTAGGCTTATTGTACCAATCCCAGATGATGATTGTGAGAATAGTGCTTATTAATGTGTGTGGAGGGGTTAGTGGAATGAGAATTGATAGCAGAGACTGAAGTATTCGGAGAAAACCCGACCCAGTGCCACTATGTTGACCTCAACTCCCACAAAGCTTGAACTGGGCTCTATCTCGGGCTTCAGAGATAGGAAGCGGTCAGCTACCCACCTGAGCCATGATACGGCCCTTCTTGCTTCCCGTACATCATGAAAATATCACAAAGACGGCAAAGGAATGTGCTCTTACTGTGATGTCCTCCACGTACTCAAGAGGAAATCGCCGACACGCGTCCTCGTTGAAGATGTAGATGGTTGAATTGCGTTTCACAAGGTTTGGTGGGAACATGGAACCATCCGTCCCGTCAATTCGGTTGCACTCGTCCCCTAGCCAGTGATGCAAGCGTTCTTCACCGTTGAGTCGTGACATCACCCCCCGTTGCTGTAAGTTCTGCTTGCCGGTATACATCGTAATTCGGTTTCTCGTTATGCCATTCCTCTGAAATGGTAAATATCACTTAAAGTCGAGTGCTTTCGCAAGTACAAGCCACCTGAGATCCTGGAAAATAGTTTTGTAAAGATGTAAAATGTTTATTAATACATTACATAACAAACTTGCAATTGGTATACTGTGTTATAAATTAAGCCCTTTAGTAAACTTCTTTTTCTGTCGTCTCTGTTTTTGTATGCTTCATATATGAACGTTACACCTCACCCCTTCACACCTCTCATCCTCCTCCTTATTACAGTTAATCTACTAGCTCAGGGTGAAGATGGAATGTAATTAGCCAAAGACTTAATTACTGACCTAGGCCGCGCCATAGCTCAAGCGGCTAGTCCCTGGCTTCCCACCGCGGCGGCCCTGGTTAGATCCCGGATCTGGTCAAGTGGGATTTGTGGTGGACAAATTGGCACTGGGGCAGGTTTTCTCCGAGTACTTCGGTTTCCCCTGCCAATCTTCATTCCACCAATTGCTCTACAATCACCCTCACCTATCAACTGGGGCTGGTACAATAGGCCAGAAGTGGTCGCAGTACAAGGGACTTAGTCCCACCTTACTAGAAATAAAAAAAAATAATATTACGGACCACCTTCAATTGATTTATAAGAGAGTAAATGACACAAGATTGACGATAACAACAATTTCAACAATTTCACGTATTAGAGTGACTCTAGAGGCGTTCTGGATTATATATTTGATTTATTGATCACTTACTGATCCGTGATTAAAAGTAATTAAAACAGCCTCACTGAATCACCTATTCCAAATATCACTGTATTTGCAGCACACATGAGGCCTTCTCTGTTCTCAGGCTTCAATAGGTTATTTTTATCGTGGTTACATTTGCTTGCACACGTGTAAAAGATTAATAAGCCTTTTACATTACTCGCAAAATGTAAAATACAATAGCGTAACAAAAGAGTATCAGTTTTCATCTACAATATTACACACGTGATGATGGTCAGTTAGGCCGAAGCACGTAGTGCTGAATAAATAATAAGAAGAGATGGTGTGCCTCAAAATGTGAATTCAGTATATGGACGTAATTGCACAGGGACGGAGAGGTGAGAGTCATACGATTGGAATACACAGTGCAATAGTAAAGTAGAAAAGTAAAGGAATCCCTAAGCGGACTCCGTAGTCTAGGGGTAACGTTCCCACATCATGACTCAAGGTACGCGGGTTCAAACCCGGCGGAGGTCGTGGAATTTTTAAGGGCGGAAAAATTCAGGGAACAAGTCTTCCAGAAATAAGTTTGGTTTTAATCTAATTGTTCTGATCTCTGTGATATGGAAAGTAGTTAAAATGTAACTACACAGTATGAAAAATATTAGGCAAAATAATTATAGGCATGTTATATTTTAGCGTCCTGTTGTACTGATTTAAGTCCATGATTTATTTAAACCGTCTTGCAGTGCATACACTCATCTATCTCCTTCTCTCACTCGCACTACATGTTTCGGCATGTTATGTTATGTCACACGCAGTCACAGGAGCAAGACACAACAAAAGCACAACACACACACAATAGTGAAGGAGTGCTCCAACAGAGGAGAATGGGCGTGACTGGCGTAGTGAGGTGCGATGTAGCGATGTGGAATCCTGAACAATTTTAATGTTTTTAACGTTCGACATTTGTCAATATATATGATAGATATATATTTTAGTTATTTTAATGTGAGGACAAGGCATGCAATGAACTAGTTTGGCGTGGATTGAGTAAGCACCTGAAGATGGCATTTTTATGCCGAAACATGTAGTGCGAGTGAGAGAAGGAGCTAGATGAGTGTATGCACTGCAAGACGGTTTAAATAAATCATGGACTTATAGGCATATTTAAATTAATTAGAACTTGTAAATAAAACATGAAAGTAAAGAAAATGCGATGTTTTAGCTCATAATTCAATAAAGAACTGTAACATAAATGAAAAATGTTCTGCCCTCTTTGGTATTAGAATAAGGGAATTAATTTGAAAAATTTTCTTTTAATTTAACAAAGTCTAATAATTGCCTTTCAAATGATAAAACATTGCGCTACAATATAAAATCATATCATTCATCCATTCAACCATTCTTCAGTGGCTCTACAGCCCTTTGTTGGGCCCTAGCCTCTTCTTCAGTTTCGTAATATTTTTTACACGTACGGTAGGACTCCTTGGACGGGGATCAGTCCGTCTCAAGGCCGCTACCAACACAAACACAGAATAAACGCACACACGCATCCATGCCTTGAGTGGGATTCGAATCCAAGACCCCAGCTTTCGAGCGAGCTAAGACAGTTCATGCCCTAGACCGCGCCACCACTGTGAGCGGCTAAATTCCGGTCAACTAAGGATATATTCCTACGAAATTTAAGGACGATATATAACTTGCATAGATCGTTTAATGTGCCATGAAAATGGGGATTACAGTAATGTTATGCTGGACATTATTAGCATGGCACGTGTTTGACTTACACCAAAATTCGGTTGTTGGCTCTACTCACTTTTTCACGTTAATCGCTGTTACTACTTAAGTTCCCGTCCACATTACTCGTGCTTGTGCTCGTCGGAAGACTCGTCTGGCTTTTACTTGTGCTCGTAAATCTTCGTCCACACTACTTCAGTTGCTCGCCAGGCTTCGGCGCGTGAGAATCCGTATATTTACTCGTAGTGTGTACAGGCTATAGTCGTATTTTAATTTATTGGCTATAGTTTTTAAATTAGAAACTAAAATTTGCTTGTCTCATGACTTGTAATATCGTCCATATTACTTGCGAGCATAGCGAGTCACACGAGCACTAGCACAAGTAATGTGGACGCCCCTTTATACTTACTTTCACACGGTTTCCGAACCCGATATCATTTCAGTAATACACGAGTGTCCTGACCAATCGAACAATGAGGAAGATGGCGCTACAAGCAATGATTGTGATTCTAACGATACGATCTAGTGACTGACACTTGTTTCTGATGAACGGTACGGCGGTGCTACTGGTAGTAATAAAATTATACTGATGCATATCAACACGGTTATGACGGATCGTTCCCATTGATGATACCTTCATGAGAATCCCAAATTTCTTGTAAGGCAGTTCCTGAGTGAGGGAGGTGTAAGTACGGGCCAAGCTGAACAGCGCGTCGTCGTAACCCCAGAAGAAGTCGTGTACTGAAATCCTGACAAACTGCTGCATGTCCATGCCAGCAGTCATGGCCAGGAAGGCGAGTTGCGCCAGCACATAGGAGTCCTTCAGCACCGACAGGGCACTCTGTAACGCCAAGAAAGTGTCATTCGTCGACTGACCATCTGGTCGATTAAGTCAATAATTGAGTGTTAGGCTGATTGATTATGGGTAGACTGAAACTCCTAGATAGAGAAGAATTATATCTTCTGGGTTACTGCACCACGTAATCAGTTGAAAGTAAACTGACGTTTCGGAGTAGAATGCTGCTTGCTTCATGGTGGTATATTGCTTGACTTACTTTTCAACGCAAGAAATGGAGCCGACATGTTCCACCGAAACTTCGGTCAACATTCAACAGACTACATGTCAGTATACAAAAAGAAGTAAAACTCTTTAAAACAACCGCTGTGAGAATTTCAAATCCTTTGTACAGGATTTTACTCCACTTTTTTTTTCCTTGTTACTACAGTCCCAGTGGGCCTAGGCCTACCTCCATGAACTCTGTTCACTTCGGTTTTTCTAGATCATACACATTCGGTAGGACTCCTTGGGCGGGTGACCAGCTCGTCGCAAGGCCTCTACCTGTACACAAACACAGAAAAACGCACACAAACCTCCATGCCCTGAGTGGGATTCGAACCCACGATCCAGGCTTCCGAGCGAGCGAAGACAGCGCATGCCTTAGACCGCTCGGCTACCGTGAACGGCTTACTCCACTTTATGTCCACAAAATCTATTACGCTAAGATACTTTCTAAAAATCCTCTATCATCTGTTTGCTTTTTATGATTCCATCTTGAGAGATTAACATAAATAATAATTATGTATTTTATGGTCTACTTCTGTGCATCATTGTATTCTTATATCCACCACACCTACTGTGTGTTCGTCTTCCACTAGTGGAAAGTTCCCAGTTATAAATTCAGAGGTCGACAATGTCAGCAATTTCTCACAAGTACATCTGTTTAAGTTTACATTTATGACCTGTCGTCGTGCCAGTCTTCATATTCTTATTCCTGTTTGTATTGTTAGGTCTGTTATAGCTATTATACTGAGGTAGATTTCGCGTGGTCGCAATGTGCTTGCTTAGCATTCTACAAACATAAACTAAAGAAAGTTTGTAGTCATTCATTTGCAGCGGGCTCCGTATAACACAGAGACCCTGTGTCGCTCCCTCGTTTCGGTCTTGTATACTCACTGTACTCGTAAGTCTGAAGGAAGTTAGCCAATTGACTCAAAAATCACTACCCAGACAGCACACAAACAATATAGCAGTGGAGTTATATTTTCTTTACGTATAAGGGAGGCAGGCTACGAATGGCCTTATACTGACCAGGAGTGGGATATTTGGCACAGCAATGTAATCCTGACGAGGATGGTGGCGTGCGGAGAGCTCTGGCACGAAGCTGAGGGAAACCTTTTCCTGGTAGGACACTGTTCCATTGTGGTTAAACACCACGTTCACCTTCTCCGTCCGTTGCCTGCAACACAGGTCACTTGTTCAGTCCCAGGAAAATTCGTTGTATACAAAAGTGGCAGGCTTCCTCCTACTATTGCCATTCTCTCCTGCCAATCATTAATCTAGTTTTATCCTGCCCCTATCGCTGTCGTTGACTTGTTTATTTAAGAATGCTGGACTGAGCATGCTGATGTCGCAGTAAGATACAAGGGTTCAAATCTTAGCTGGGACACAGGCTATGCTTACTCAGAATATTCTGGAATAGTAGTGTAACGCGTATAGCTAGGCAACGGCACGATAAACAAGCACACTCAACAATAGGATGAATATTATAGTTAATTGCTAGGCAACAGTCAGTGCGCCAATGGACTGGCTAGGTAGCCATCACTTGACTCGTTTTCTCTGTGGTCTTCCTTATGCACCAAAAGGTCTGTGTTTACCATGTGTGGGCGGTGCAGATGCTATATAATGACAGTTACAGATATAACAGTTTTCAGTTTTAAGGGGAGTTCCGTTCAAGTGAGTTCTAGGCAGGAGACAGCCATAGGAAATTCAGTTTCGTGTTCAGAAGAGTGCAGTTGAGTTCCAGAGTGACTGAACAAGAAACAGCAAGAGGACTTCATTGTGTTCTGAAGTGCTTGTTTCAGTGTTCAGATCCACTGCCAGGAGACGACAAGAGAAGAAGGAGAATCCTATTGCGTGTGCAACAGTGAATTACAAAGTGTGTAAACCGACGATAGCGCTGTAATTGCTGTAATTAAGAGAGAGAGTGTAACCGAAGTGCTAACAAATCCAATCATCAGATCTAAAATCCGTAATTTTCGTAGCGCGTACCACCCTACATGTGACAGTATTTAGAATAGGCCACGCTCGTATCCTTCCTAATCATTTCCACTTAATTATTCTCCAAACATGCTGCCGTCCAACTTTATATAGCCTAGCTTCTGAGATTGTCGTGAAATAGAATAATGTTCAATGTGTTCGCTTTGAATTGAACACCTAGCACCTGATTTAAATTTAAGGACACAATACGTTCATACATACATCATCATCATCACTAATCTGTCAGACGAGAGGTCCACAGTCTCTTCCAAAACAGTTCCTCCACTTAATGCGATCTATAGATTTCTCCTTCAAATGAAAATATCCTCTTCTGTCCCCAAGGTCATCCAGCATCTTCTTACGTCTTCTTCCTCGTCTTCTTGTCACTTCTATCCGCCCCTTTATCTTTCCTTCAATAACTTCTTTTAGAAGGCAGTTTCTGCGTAAAACATGACCGATCCAATTAGCCTTCCGTTTTCTTATTTCGTGTAGGATATTCCTCTGCTCACGGACTCTAATTAACACTTCTTCATTTCTCACATAATCGGCCCAACTGATCTTCTCCATCCTTATCCAACACCACATTTCAAAACTTTCCAGATATTTCTGATCTACTGCCCTAAGTGTCCGGTTTCAGCCCCATACAGAGCATGCTCCGGATGTAGCATTTGACTAGTTTCTTCCTAAAATTTAAGTCCAATTTGCTGGTAAAAAGATTCTTCTTCTTGCTAAATGCAGCTTTTGCATGGCAATCCTGGATTTAATTTCACTAGTACACCTTCCATCATCTGCTATAATTCTCATCATCCCAATTGCATCCCTGGTTCCTTTTCCTCTTCTAAATCCAAACTGATCTTCTCCAAGTATATCCTCTATTTTCCTTTCAATTCTTCTTTTAATTATCTTTGCTATTATCTTTGCTGTATGTGCAGTAAGGCTTATTGTGCGATGGTCGCTGCTTTTTGAAGCTATTGTCTTTTTCTTTATGGCAATCATTGTAACTTCTGTAAAGTCCTTGGGGCACTCTCCACTTTTATATATGGTGTTCATTAGTTTTGTCAGTGTTTTCAAACCACCTTCTCCCAGTAACTTGAGCACATCTCCAGGTACATCATCATCTCCTGTAGCCTTTCCCTTCCTCATTTCCTTGATAGCTTTTTCCACCTCACTTTGTAAAATATATGGTCCTTTCTCGTCTGTATCTACTTCTTCTTCCGGTTCAACTTCTAAGGTTTCTGGCCGATTAGGTCGATCATATAGTTCTGAAATATAATTTTCCCAAATTTTCAGCACTTGCCTCTGATCTACTATTCTATTCCCCTGGGAGTCTTCGATGCCAACATTTTGAATCCCATGATTCTCTTTCCATCCTAGTTCTTTTGTCTTCATGTACATCAAATCATAACGGCCTGTTCTTTGAAATTCCATAATCTCATTACATATCTTCTCAAGATATTCCTTTTTGGCCCTGTCCGTGGCTCTTTTCAATTCATTCCTCGGTCTCCTGTACTTCATCCTAACTTCTTCATTGTTGACATTCTTCCATTTCCTTCGCTCCTCCATTTTACTCATCATCTCCTGTGTAACCCATGGTTTTCTTGCTATCTTCTCAACTTTGCCAACCAAATCACTGATAGTATCTAACATGCATTCTTTTATATTGTTCCACTGCACTTCAGCATTTCCGCTTTCACCTTCAATTGCACCGAGTTTCTCTTCTAGGGTCTCCTGCACGCTTTGTCTTTGAGCATATAACTTCTCCAAATCCCATCTAGGTCTGCGCTTTTGAAATCTTATAATGTTATTCAACCTGGTTCGGAACTTGGTAACCAGTAAGTTGTGGTCATAGTCAATATCTGCTCCAGGAAGCGTCTTCACATCCTTCACACTGTTTCTGAATCGATGTTTCACAAGGATGTAGTCCAGCTGATGCCTCCTCCAATCCCCAGGTGCCTTCCATGTGTAAATTCTTCTCTTTGGCTTCTTGAACCAAGTGTTGGTAACAATCAATCCATTTCGTTCACAAAAGTCAATAAGCATTTGACCTCTGTGATTCCGTCTTCCTAGTCCATGTGATCCAACAATATTCTGATATGGTTCATCTCCAACAATGCTATTCCAGTCTCCCAATATGATGCTGTTTGTGTCTCCTCTTCCATCTTCCTGAAGAATTTCTTCAATTGTGTCATACACTTTTTCCACTTCATCATCTTCATACTCTGATGTTGGCATGTACACTTGTATAATCAGTATATCTACCGGTTCCGCCTTTAACTTCAGAGCAATAATTCTGTCATTACAAGCAATCTTCTTAACAACACTCCTCACTACACTTTTATGCACCACTATTGCCACACCTCTTTCAGCCCGTTCACCTCCGGAATAATACACTGTATAATCACCGCTTCTTATTTCACCTTGTCCTTTCCACCGCACTTCGCTGACACCTAGAACAGACACTTCATTCTTCTGCATTTCCGTTTTCAAATTCTCCAATTTTCCTGCTTGATTCAAGGTCCTGACATTCCATGTTCCAATCTTGTATCCATGCTGTTTCTTCTGATCTTCGCACTTTTTCTTGTTGTAACGCCTGCATGACATTTCCTCTAGAAACACTCCCCCCCGGAGATCCGATTGGGGGAGTAGTTTACCTCCGGATTGTTTTGCCTCCAGAGGAAATATCTCGCATACATAGTATCTCTGTTTTTGGAAAGAGACTATCCAGGAAAAGTGATAATGTGGTAGTTTTTCCATTTGCTTTCCACATCGCAGTACAGCAGCCGTTCAAACCACTCTGGTCACGCCTGTTGCTATACGAACTTGAACCATCTCGAGCATCATTTGCTCTGTGCTTCAAGTCGCTACTGATGACGCTGCTTCCGGCATCAGTTTTTGGTGTCTCTCTTCGTCTGATGCCTACCCTTTGACCTGTCCAGCAAGGGAGGCCCTGCCAGTAGCTACACTACCGCTGGTATAGCTCTCAGGGTCCTTGGCATACTCAAACCCCCTCACCACGATAAGGTGGAGACACCAACAAGGGGGCATACATACACACCGAATTTAATGAAATTGGTTATATTTTAGAGTTTTGGCCCTAATATATGATTTTTAAGAGGAGTAGTCCTAAAATACTAAAAATCTCTGTTGTGCTTGTACCGAATTCTTCTCAACAGCTCAATGAATTTCATAATTTTATCTGATGTTATATGTCCTATGGCCGTGCCATAGCTCAAGCGGTTGGTCGCTGGCTTCCCACCGCGGCGGCCAGGGTTCGATCTCGGGTCTGGTCAAGTGGGATTTGTGGTGGACAAAGTGGCACCGGGGCAGGTTTTCTCCGAGTACTTCGGTTTCCCCTGCCAATCTTCATTTCTCCAATTGTTCCACAATTACCCTCACCTATCATCTGGGGCTGGTACAATAGGCCAGAAGTGGCCTCAGTACAAGGGACTTAGTCCCACCCCATTAGCAATAAAAAAATCTGTGATAAAAATCCATTACACGTTACAGCAAATCGCGGGTGTAAGTACTACAAGAGCCGATCACAGTGACCACGGCCTGAACTGGCTTCACTCCCTCGAACGCTGGGATCTTGGGTTCGAACCCACTGTCGTAAGTTGTAGAAACCTAATCTAAATGAATGCAATGTCCATTTGGCCGTCTAATTGTGAGTTGCATATTAATCATTAACCTCAAGTTGGACAGTCACTATCTGATAAGTGATAGGCGGGATAACAATGACGCAGGACAGGGTGCTGATAGCTGTGGTGGTATGCTTTAAGAACATGCGCATGAAGGCTACCACCGACCGGAGAAAACTAGCGTCATTTTTAATTTTGAGTTATCTACTTCATATCTTTACAATTTCACTTGAGTTTGACATAGTATCAGTCAAATTATCCACGCTACTGTCCTCATGACACCCTGAAATGTGCCTCTGCCATTTCTCCCAAAATACTGTCACATGTATGGGTGACCAGGCCGCCTCTGCGGTCTAGTGGTCAGAGTTCCTGGATACAGATCCAGAGGTATGGGTTCGATTCCCGGAGCTACCAGTTTTTCTGAGAAGTAGTTTGTCTGGAACGGGGTCCACTCAGCCTCGTGAGGATAACTGAAATAGCGGCTCCGTTTTAGAAAAGCGAAATTAACGGCAGTGGGTATTCGTTGCGCTGACCACGCCACACCCTTTATTCGCTAAAGTTCGCACTAACTTCGCCGATAAGCGGTGGTCGCTCCGTCGGTTTAATTTGCTTGTTGACTAAAGCCACAGAATTTTGTATGGGTGACTATAGACGAGGTTTGAATTGGTAATTGGATTTATTGAACTCTTACACGTCATGACAAGTAATTATAACAGACTCAATGCTATACACAGTCTTAAGATCACTGTAAATTCTATGTCTTCATTGGTGGTTTCCTGATAATTTCCTTAACGACTAGCAAAATCCCACCACTGACTCATTTCTCTAACTGATTAACTCCCAGGCTGGCGGCCATCTCACACCAACTTTTTACTCTTCTATTCACTAACTGACTAACTGGAGCTCCAAACTTGCCCCGCTTATACCATCTAGACACGGACCGCACAGAAAACACCGCTCCTCACTGTTGCAGTTCAATCGTTTCCGTGGGAACGTATTTGTTTGCGAAGCCTATCTCCCTGTCGTTGCCTAGCAAAAGGCCTACATACTACAATACTTTTCCAATTCATCGTGCAAAGTTATTCTCTCATGTCAACCGATAATATATGATATCTACAGTTGACAATTATTTGACAATTAAGTTACGAACCGATCAATTGGTAACAGTGACCATAATAATAATCAGAGAGGATGGCAAAAATAAAGGTGAGCATGATAACCGCTGCAATTACAGGTATAGCAAAATATCTCCGAGCTTCGTTAGCCCTTGCCAAGTACTAACGTGGGTTGGCCAGACAGCCAGAATATGAGGAGGTAAAGAAAAGACCGCAAGTGGGAGAGCATGCCCAGAGACCCGGATCCGTCCTTGTACTCTGCATTTACCCTTTGCATCCACCATTTCCCCCCTGCCCCCTTCTGTGACATAGTTCTGGATCGAGATACATGTATTTCGCTTCGAGAGTATCTGTGACTTGGTGTTCCCACCTACCTGTAAACGTAAGGGCCCAATTCTTCAACCTGAAGCCTCGTATCGATTCCTTTCTCGAATTCGTCAGCGTTGGTATAGTTAAACACATAGACGGACACAAGAGGAAGGATGGGCGGCTTTACCCACAAGTTGTAGGAGAGCGTGTTGTTCTCAAGTCCCATGTTCTGAAAGCAGACATTCATCTAACAGCGTGTGGATCATTAAATGAAAGATGATGTATGTACGGGGTACGTAGCAGGTTTATGAAACGAGAAAATTTTTCAAAATTCCCTTTTGGATACCTAAACAAGGCCACTACGTCGGAAGGATTTAGCTGTAGTTGAAATGATGAAATTAAACTGGACTGTGAAATATGTGAGATGGATTGCGCTCGTTAAAATGGATAAAACAGCGAACATTTGTAATTTGTACTCGTATATACGGGCTAATAATAAAACGGAAGGCTAATTGGATTGGTCATATCTTACGCGGTAACTGCCTTCTAAAAGAAGTTATTGAAGGAAACATAGATGGGCGGATAGAAGTGACGAGAAGAAGAGGAAGAAGACGTAAGAAGATGCTGGATGACCTTGGGGACAAAAGGGGATATTTTCATTTGAAGGAGAAAGCTCTAGATCGCATCCAGTGGAGGAACTGTTTTGGAAGAGACTGTGGACCTGTCGTCTTGACAGATTACAGATGAATTAATGAATATACGGACTCCACAGCAGCAGAGAATTTACTTGTTCAGCTGAACACCCTGTTCACATGATAATCTCTGAAAGAGCTGCCGCGTATTGCTATTTCAGCTGTTCAATATGTGACCCAGAGTTCTTACTATCCTCATTTCTATATGAAAGTTTACGCTAAGATTCCCGGAAACCGCATGGTACTTCTCCTTTATTATTCCTGAATCCTAAATTTACTTTAATTTTCTCCTTCGTGGCAAATTAAGAATTCAAGAGATCTCTTTTATTTTTGTATATGCGTGTGCGTATGTGTGCATGCCTGTGTGTATGTGTGTGTGAATTTGCATGTGTGTTGGTGTGTGTGTGTGTATGTGTGTGTGGGGAGGGGGTGCTCGCGCCTACGTGCATGTAATTTGTCAATATATCGGGCTAAACTTTTTAGTATATTTGAACACTTACCAATAAGGTTGAGCCACATGAGTCCCACCTGCTGAAACATTTCCTTTATCTACTTTGTAAACCGTAAGAGCATGCAAAGCAGCGGGAAAAGCGACAAATTTTCGAAAATTGGAGAGCAAATATGTTGATAAGATCTTCATCCAATCCTGTCTTCCATTGCTACAAGTGGGTTTATTATTTTTTTATTGCTACTGGGGTGGGACTAAGTCCCTTGTACTACGGCCACTTCTGGCCTATTGTATCAGCTCCAGATGATAGATGAAGGTGAGTATGGAGCAATTGGTGGAATGAAGATTGGCAGGGGAATCCGAAGTACTCGGAGAAAATCTGCCCCAGCACCACTTTGTCCACCACAAATCCCACTTGACCAGACCCGAGATCGAACCCGGGCCGCCACCGTGAGAAGCCAGCGACTAACCGCTTAAGCTTCACAAATGGGTTTAAGAATGATTTCGAATCAACGGAATTACACTTCGACTCTTTCAAACGCTGAACCTACAATCGTTAGCAAATAGTGAAGAAGAGTGTAAAAGAAGAATGAAAAATAATATAAAGAGGAGTCACAGAAGAATATGAAGGAGAAGACGGAAGCCGAAACTAAAGGAGAGGAGATGAGATATAAGAAAAAGACAGGCAGGACAAGGAGAATGAAAGAGAAAGATAAAAATATGTTGGCGTAAGGGGATCAGAGAAAGACTAGAAGGAGAAGATAGAAGGAAGAACGTGAAGTAGAAGAAGGAAAAGAGATAATGGAACAAAGAATATAAATTAAAATATGGAAGAAGGAAAATGACGAGAACAAGACATGCAAAATGGACTTTACGCAATGGATTTGGTTTAATATTGTTGAAACGTGAGACTTCTTCTGTACTACATACTAACTAAAAAACTACATAGCTACTAACTACGTAACATACTACATAACTAACTGCAGAGTACTTCTTGAGAAGCTAACAGTCTTCAGTGAACCTGATGTTTCAATGCCGTAGTCAAATATCCTATCCAAATTCTGAGTTCCGATCACTTTAAAATCCACTTAAAAAGTTGTCCTTCAATATAGGACAGTATCTATGTAGTTGCCTCAATTTGCCTCTTCCCTTCAAGATTTCCGATTATAAATTTGTACCCTTTCCCCTTCCTCATGCATCCTATATATCCCACTCACCCCATCTTCCTATATTGGATCAAACTGATAAAATACGTACTTTCTGATGTTCACGAAGTAGGAAGTACATGATTATATAGTTTTCCTTTCACTTGCTCTCTCTAAGCTCTAAATATCCTCTATAAATTTCTGTTCTTTCAATCGGATAAAGATTAATATTGCATAATAAAAAAAAACTCCGTGGTTTTAGTCCCGCAAGCGAACTATACCGACCGAGCGACCGCCGCTTGTCGGCGAAGTTAGTGTCAATTTTAGCGGATAGAGGGTCTCGCGTGGTCAGCGCAACGAGTCTCCATGGCCGTAAATCTCGGTTTTCTAGACCGGAGCCGCTACTTTTCCATTCAAGTAGCTCCTCAATTATCCTCACGAGGCTGAGTGAACCCCGTTCCAGACCCACTATTTCTCAAAAAATCGGCTCACAGATGGCGGTAAAGTTGTCAGTCTTAGCAGCAGCCGCCCTTTACACCCCAGGAAGTTTCCTGGTACTCATTACTTTTAGAGGTTGAGTTGATCCCAGGGTTAAAGTGCGGCTGGAAATATTAAGTAAATTGGAAAGTTCCACCTCATCGGGACTCGAATCCGAGACCTTCCGGCTTGTAACATAGTGCCTCAACCAGCTACGCTACCGCGTGACCTCAATACTGCATAATATAATAACTAGTATAAACAGAATTTTATATCGTTCGAGCATCATGATCGATTAAATATTTTCAAGCATAAACCTTAGAGGATACTCAGCGTTTACATATATCAATGAGTCTCATCAGGAGCAACAGCATTTAATAAGAACTTAAACACTAGGCTTATTGTTACAGAATCTAAATATGTTGGGACATGTACTTCAAAATTACTGAATTGTGTATGTACCGTAACTCGTGGTAGAAACGTTTGGTAGTCGGTGTAGTCGGTACAGTCGGTACGTCTTCGATTCGATTCGAGATTTTCCTCGACCACTTCCTCCCTTTCTTTTCCATACCACACTACTTATATTATGCTGTTATTCTCATTCGACTCTACGTGATGCTAGGAGTTAACACAGCAGAAAGGGCCGCGCCATAACTCAAGCGGTTAGTCTCTGGCTTCCCACCGCGGCGTCCCGGGTTCGAGCCCAGGTCTGGTCAAGTGGGATTTGTGGTGGACAAAGTGATGCTGGGGCAGGTTTTCTCCGAGTACTTCGCTTTCTCCTGCCAATCTTCATTCCACCAATTGCTCCACAATCGTCCTCACCTATCATCTGTGGCTGGTAAAATAGGCCAGAAGTGACCGCAGTACAAGGGACTTAGTCCCAGCTCACTAGCAATAAAAAAAAACAGCAGAATAAATAAAATAAATTTTTATGTACATTTATAAGAAGCAATGCTTATCTTAGTCTGCACTCTCCAGTACTCATACTAGCAAAGAGTACGTGAGTACCGGCAAAGTTGTCAGATTGAAAAGCAGCACATCTGCCTGTTGTAGACGTGTGTTCCGATCTTGAGGCTAAAACTGAGTGTTAACGGTATAGGAAATGTATTATTTGGAAAAAAAAGAAGCGTTTTATTCTATATCCTTAAGCGTGGGAGGTGTCTGATTCACTTACTCACCGTATGCAACGTCAGTCTTATTAAATCTTTCGCCCACACGACAGCAGTGACAACAATGACGATGACGACTATTACCGACAGGGCTGCCAAAGCTGCAACGTAAACAGAACCACAGCTTACATAACCAGCTGGAAACAAATTACTTAATAACTATTGTATTCATAAACAGAATGTCCAAAAATTAATGGTGGGATTTCGAGAACCAGTATTTAGAATAATTAGAAATATATTCAAGAAATTAAGTTTTATACGAAAGTGTGCCTCCAGTAGTTCTGAGCATAATTAGTAGGTTTCAATACGTACTGGTCTAAGAACAAAACAACATTCCTTTTCTTGTAAACATGACTAGACGACCAAGGATATTACAAAATCGCACAGCATTAAACTGCGGTTTGGGAGATATTTAAATAAATGTATATATGTACAAAGAAGGCCTAGACAATGCCCATCCGGTCCTCTGTAGCATAGTCTACAGAGCTGCCATATTCCCTCCTCGAACTTACAAGTGCCTTATAGAGTCTCAGTAAAACTACGGGCTCGCATCCCCACCCAGTATGCGACACACAGTTCACGATTTTAATCAGGTTTTCGCATTTCTTAACTACTGGGTGAATTCGTCCTCCAAGTCTTGATTAGATTTTAAGTGCAGATTTAAAATTTTAATTCATTTGACTGAAAAAAAAACTTTTCTCCTTGTACCGTGATTTCCCACTCTCCATCTGCTGTCCCTTTCTTTATCGAAAATATGCAGTTGACATGTGTGTGGCGTTATCTCCCAGGCACTTTCCTTTAAATAAACTTGAATACTTTGTATAATATTTTCCACTTCTGATACGGCAATTTTGTTATGTCTGTTAACTGAAAAAAAAAATATCTATTTACTCAGTGAGTTTGCAGTTCTGGTTGACTTTGGATTTCAGTCCTGTCATGTAACATGAGTATAAGGTTGGACTCACAGCATTACCCTGCGGTAATCCTTTGTATGTCCAGTCTTTGAGATCTAGCCATCCATAGTCTGCCTCTAGTTCCCTCGAGGAGATCAGGTTAAAGATGAAAGCTAACCGGTTTCCCGAGAAACATACTGCTTTGAGTGTACCCATCAAGGAGCCTCAGTGGACGTTGTCGTATGAGCTTTTAAACCGAGGAACAGCGCCGGTACCTTGTTCCGTTCTTCAAAAGCTTTTATTAATTCACTTGTTAGTATTGCTAGTTTGTCTGTGCATCCCTTGTTCCGCCGAAATCCATATTGTGTTTCAGAGAATTTCTTATTTTTTCAAGCCCCCAGGATATACGTATATTTACCATTCGTTCTAATACCTTGCACACACATGATGCCATGTATATAGGCCTTACACTCCTATTGTAGTTTTTATGGCTAAAGAAAATTCTATGTTTTCATTGGATTTTTTTCAGTTGACCTAATCCTTCCAGCCGCACTAGGCCCTGGGATTTACCCAGCCTCTAACAGAAATGAGTACCAGGAATTAATTAAATAATTTTCCTTGGGAGTAAAGCGCGGCCGGCGCGTAAGGCTGGCAATCTTACCGCCATCTTTGAGCCGCTTGTCTAGATAATGTGGGACCCTCAACATCTCACAACCCTATGGGCCTTCACGGCCTGGTACATGGATAGCTTTACGTTTTTTCTTTACTTTTACTGTGTTTTCATAGTTTTCCGGGAACGCTCTTTCTCTTAAAATATCCTTATAACATGAAAAGTTAAACAGTTCCGTCTAGTGTGACTGATGATCACCCGACACACTAGACGGAACTGTTTAACTTTTCATGATATTGTTTGTGTGACGATCCAGGATGAAACAAATCAATTATCCTTACAAACTTATAGCAAAATTTCTAAAGCTTTGTTTGGCAAATTGCGAATTATGAGTTAGTCTATTTCATCCCATACCTGGATCGATAGGGCTCTGAAAATTTTAATTGCGAAGTGGAGTTATTGAATTGTATATTCATGAGCCCAGGAATTGATCCTGATTATCATGAACGAATGCTGGTGTTTGCATCGGGTCATCCACCCGTGAGCATAGCTTTTCAAAAGTTCTAGTTCTTCTTTATATTCGCGTTCCATTTCTGTCTTGTTGTACCTAAATTTCAATTTTTCATTTATCTATTCCCTCGCAGAAAGTTTTGCGATTCTCGTGTTTGATTACTTTTAGTGTATTCTTTCCGCTAATCGCTGCCCTTCTGTATCCCAAGAAATTCCCTTCGGTTTTACACTATTTAAACTTAAGCAATTTAGCTTTTCTAATCCAAGTTACCTTTTCGTACTATTCTGTTTCATCATACACACTGGCTTCTTATCTGTAATTCCTATTTTTCCTTGTCCTCCATTTTCGAGGTTGTTTTGCTTTTTATGAGTGGTCTCTTGTAATTTTCCTTTAATTATCTGGATAAAATTATCGTACCTTTCCTTTACATCTCCCTCTCTCTCTCTCTCTCTCTCTGATTCATCCATTATTCGTTTTTACTTCCGTGATTTCTTCCTTAACTTCTCCATGAAGGCAGTCAAATCGGTGCCTTCATTGTGCAGTCTAGAAGCTTTTCTTCTGCTTTTTCTTGGTTATGGCGTTACACTCGGTGGAAATTGGAAAATGGTAGCTATTCGAGAGATCTGTTCCACCCTTCCAGATATGTAATAGTGCTGATCTTGGGTCCACAAAATTTCGGTCGAAGGCAGCTTTAGATCCTCTGACGTCGTAGATGTATGAATGAGAGCCGTCATTAAGCAACGTAAGTTTTCTTTACAATTCAGTTTTACAGTGGAATATGTTGTTGCCGATAGTCACATTTTTCGAATTACCCTACGAATGACGGTATACATTAAAGATTCCGCCAATCAAGAATTTACCTTCGAATTATGCAAAGAATTCTTTTTGCATATCCATAGTTCGATTTTCATGTGTGGCTCTCTGTAACGTGACATAATTAGTATTTTATCTTAATCAGTATGTAATTCAATTGCACACACTTCAACTTTACCATTATACAGAACATCCTTACGCGAATATTTCAGTTCGTTATTCACAAAACGTCAACACCACAACCTGCTCTTTCGTTCCTTTCTTTTCTCACCACGTCAAAGACTTACAGATATACTGTACATTTTCTGCTTCGTCAAGCCAGGTCTCGGATATTATGACGTCAATGTGTTGGCCCCTCTGTTGAAATTCGGGGAACTTAAGGCTTCTACAGTTCCATTGAACGAACTTAATTTATTGATTCCAGTTGTGTTTCGTTGTAATGTTGCTCGTGAAGTTTGACGGATTTTCTCAGGTGTCTTACTATTGATTTAGCGACCCCGTGAATTATCACGGTTACCAATATGTTCTTGATTTCGTTCTACATCTAAATAGATTACAACTCGTCTAAAGATTTCTCTTACACACTCTGGTCCTTTGGGCCGCTCCTTTTCTCTACATTTTTTAATCTTGATTTGTGTATTTGAGTCTTGATATCCGCGTTAAACTTCCCTTGTTTCCCAGGTTTGGGGTTGAGACTCTACCCTCTTGCTTTGTCCTTGTTCTGTTCTCACCTTGGTTGGCTTATGCTTCTGAGACTTATTTATATTTTGATTCTCATTACTACTCTCCTTTACACTATCGTTTAAGGATTTCTTTGGTTTTTAGGGTTTTTTCCTTGGCACTACAGCCCCAGTGGGCCTAGGCCTAACCCCATGAACTTCTCCGTTCACTTCGGTTTTTCTACATCTTACACATTCGGTAGGACTCCTTGGGCGGGTGATCAGCTCGTCGCAAGGCCTCTACCTGTACACAAACACAAAAAAACGCACACAAACATCCATGCCCTGAGTGGGATTCGAACCCACGATCCCGGTTTCCAAACGAGCGAAGACAGTACATGCCTTAGACCGCTCGGCTATTTACAGTTTCTTACAGAACAAAATTGCGCCATCAGTTTGTCATCTGAAAGCATTTCAAGTACTTATTCCCGCAACCCTCTTCTTTGGTTTGCTGACTTTATTCTCTTTGTTTGCGCAATCCATATCTTGCATCACCACTTCTTTCCCCAGCTACGTCAATGATTTCTTCTTCCGCTATTTTATTTACCTCTTTTCTTGGCCACTTGTCCTTCTTTCAGAGAGTCAGCGCTCAGAAGTACGTGGACGCCAAGCAGTATTATTTTTGCCCGAAACCACACTTTAGTTACTTGTCACTTTTATGTATAGAAATCGAAAAAGTCAACAGAAATACAAAGAAAAAACTTGTGTTCAACACTACAACTTTAGAATCTGCAGAACCTGATTTTTCCAAGCGCTTGATTACAATCGAGTACTCAGCCTCCATCTAGGGAGGGATGAGAGAATGTAAGGGTGCAACGTGGTGGTCCCTGGTGGCCACTAATGAAACTGAGTGGAGGAATGTAACAATCATTCATTGTGATACCGCATTTGTTCTTATTCGTATTTGGAGGGAGAACTTCCCGAAATCCCACCATTACTTTTCGGACACAATATATATAGAAAATCAGTGGTCGTAGCTAGAAATATGTAGGAAACCGATCACTTTGAATACGGATACGTAGATGGGATGGAAAGGAAAATGGGTTATAGGATGTCGACTGAATTTAGCTGGACCAGAATAGGCTCCAGTGGCGACATTTTATAATGACGGTTATAAAACAATTATTTATGATGCAACGATGGTGTAACGGTTTGGGATGATGCCACCAAGTGTTCTTTATTTCGAACACGTATGTTACCTCAGAATATAAAACACGAGACTTTTTCCAAATATATCTGTTTCGAATCTCGACCAATAAGAATTTACATTGGAACATTTTTCGTGGTTTTACTTAATGATATCTCCTTAAAATTTCCCAGCATAACTTGTTCCCAAATCATTCTCCCCTTTCAGTTGACGCCTGGGTTCAGTAGTTGGTGTGTTGTTATTAAACAACGATTAAACCATCCTCAAATTACAATTATGAATTTGGCTTTCATACAAGAGATCCGAACTCGCTTGACCCAGAGTTCATACAGTTTCATGGGCAGCAACACTTACCAGTTATTCAAGAAAGTCACTGTTCTTATAGATCCCGAAGTTTCGTCACAAAAT